TTGGAAAAATGAAGGGGTCACTCGGTGACCCCATCCTACCTAGCAATTTTTTATTTCCACCTCATATCCAAATAGATTAATTTAGTCCATGTCATTGCCACGTGTGCATAGGAGTTAATGAGAGATACTGTACATTTAAACCCCTCAACTGTCCCTTTCTAAAACTTTCTTCTTTAACTTCCCCGCATCGAAATTTGTTGTTGATCTGTTCTTCGGTCCTATCCTTTTCTTCAAGTGTTAGTCACTCAAATCGGGGAACTTTGTTGTTGCTATGGTCGTTGTCATGAAGATTGATCTAGATTTTGCTGGAATTTTACCAGGTACCCCTTTATTGCTTACGCAAATGGAGCAGAGCAAAGGTTTGATGATGTTGATTTTGCTGGAATGGACAACAAGGAATTTTTCGAGTTCCTTGAAAGATTCGCATGTGAGATATGCGTGAATGTGTACTTTTGCATGCCCGATATTGTTTTTCCTGATGGATTAAGGTTAATCGCGAATGACATGGATTACATGGAACTAACCGAAATGGGGTATGCTTCTGATTGTGTAATTGATGTATATATTAACCATCTTCGTGTTAATGTACATCAATGGATTCTTGAAGAGAAAGCAGAAGTTGGCAGTTCTTTAGACCAATTATTTGGTGTAAATGAAGATCATGAAGAAGTTCATAGTCGTATGGATATGGATGATAGAATCGACATGCAAGATTTACATGGTGGTATGGATGATATCCTAGGTCCAAATGAGGATTTGCAGGGTGAGCAAGATGATGGCATTCACAAGGAAGTGGACAGTGAACCTGATGAGTGCATTCCTATGAACAAGACAAAGGATGATGAGTTTCTGAGTAAGTTGTGCCCAAAGGAGCAAGTTACCCCCACAGTCCACCTCGTGAAGATACATATGATCCACCACAAGAAGACGAGGTAATTTCTACTGACTAGGCTATTTACAATGAAAGAAGTTCATTGGAAAAAGCAAAAACCTGTATTAGGTATGAGATTTGTGAGTCCTAAACAACCGAAACATATGATTTGTAACTATGCTGTAGCAAATGGTTATCAGTTATGTTAAAAAAATGATAATAGGAGACTATTAGTGAAATATTGTTCTGGGCAGTGCAAGTTTAGGATGTGGGCTTATTGGATGAGTGAGGAAAAATCTTTCTAGATAAAGAGTATAATAAATGAGCATAATTGTGCAAGAAACTTAAAGTTAGCTTCAATTGTTAATTATTCATGGATAGGTACCCATTACACAACACAATTCTTACAGAAACAAAAGGTTAGTGTGAGGCTACTTAGGGATGAGGTTAAAGAGAAATTTGGTATAGATGTGAGTATGGGACAGTGTAGAAGAGCAAAGAAGTATGCAATTGAACTGATTGAAGGAACACTAGTGGATCACTATACAAAGTTGTGGTCATATGGTGAGGAGATTTGAAGATCAAATCCAGGATCAACAGTCAAAATTGATGTCAATTCTATGCCAGATGGTAAGAATTATTTTAGCAAACTTTACTTGTGTTTTGATGAGCTTAAGCAAGGGTGGAAAGGGAGTTGCAGAAGGGTTATAAATTTAGAAGGATGTTTGTTAAAGGGCCTATGTAATGGAGAGCTAATATGTTTTGTTGGAAGAGATGCCAATAATCACATATTTCCAATTGCATGGGCAGTTGTCTGTGTAGAGAACAAAGAAAATTGGAAATGGTTTTTGGAAAACCTTAGAGATGACCTTCAACTGGATAATGGTTTTGGTATAACATTAATGTCAGATCAGCATAAGGTAAGTTGTTTTACTTCCTAATTTAATAAATTCTAGTCTTATTTTATATAACATGTTATCATTGTTGCATAGGGGCTGTTAGAGGTTGTGAAGGAAATACTGCCTACTACTGAACATAGGCAGTGTGCAAGGCATATTGTTGCCAACTTTAGGAAAATATTCAGTGGTGTGCATTATGAAACCATGTTTTGGAAGGCAAGCAAGGCATCCGGTGAGCCTTTATTCAATGCTGCCATGAAGGAGATTGAAGTGCTTAACCCTGCGGCCATTGCTTATCTTATGGAAACAAACCCTAAATCTTGGAGTAAAGATTTTTTTCAAGAGGGAAAGATGTGTGATGCAGTGGAGAATGACTTATCTGAGAGCTTCAGCAGTGTGATAAGGGATGCTAGGAAAAAGGCAATCATCACCATGTTAGAGGAGATTAGATTGTATGTTATGGAGAGAATATACAATTTAAAGATTAAAGGTAGTTCATGGCCTGATTATAAGCCTTGCCCATCAGTTACACTCCTACTGAATCAGTTAAAAAAAGCTCAAAGGTACTTTCTAATCTGTAAACTCATAATTGTATGTAATTACTTATGTTATGTCTACATTAGGTATTGGCAGGTTTTACCAAGTGGTGTAAACCAATTTGAAACAAGCAACATGGCTGAGTCCTATGCTGTTGACCTGGACAAGAAGACTTGCACTTGTAGAGTGTGGCAACATAATGGGTATGGATGTGTGCATTCAGTTGCAACTATACCATTTCTCAATAGATATGTTGGTGGTTATGTTGATACAATGTTCCATGGAGCAGTCTACAAGAACACCTATAAGTATCTAATTCAGGGGATGAATGGTAGCAATATGTGGCCATCTACTGACTTCATACCACCTCTTTCACCAATGAAGAGAAGAATTCCAGGTAGACCAAAGCTTAACAGAAGAAGAGATGCATCAGAGAAGCTACCAAGGCACACTGTGTTAAGGTAGGGAAAAAAATATCATGCAGTGTGTGTAAAAATGTAGGGCATAACAAGGTCACATGTCCTCAAGTTGAAAGACCTCAAGTGCAAAAACCTAAAGTTGGTGAAGGAGCACGAGGTGTCCATGAAAAAGGTGAAGGAGCAGGAGGTGTCAATGAAGGGAAAAAGATTCAAGGCGCAAAATCAGTGCATGAAGGGCAAAAGGGTCAAGGAGCAGAAGGTGTTGCTGTTGGAAGGAGATGTAAAACAAAGAAATCAGAGAGAATCATAAAGATGAAACTTGCTAAGAGGGTGAAGGGAAAAGATGGGAAAGGAGATACCAGTGCAAACCCATTGGAGCTTAATGATTAGGATCTTATTTCGTTTAAGTTGTTATCTTTTAACTTGGTTGTGTTTGGTTGGATTTAAGTGTTAAGTTTGGAATTGGGTTGTAGTAGGTTATTAAGTTTGAAATTGGACAAGTTGTTATGTTTTAACTTGGTTGTGTTGTAACTGACTTTGCTTAATTTGCTTGTTCATATTTCGTGCATACAAAACACATCAAAACTAAAAGATAACAACTTAAAAAAATAAAGTACATTACAAGTTACATAACAACTTAAACGAAATAAAGTACATTACAAGTTTCAAAACACATCAAAGTGCATTACAAGTTACATTACAAGTGGTCCAATTGACCTTCATTACAACTTGTACATGATTAAATAGAAAAAAAAAATACCTAACTACATATTAGCTAAACCTTCAACTTAAAGACCTCAGCTTGAAGCTTTTTGTTCGACTTAAACAATCCATTTATGATCACACCTTCATTGTTACACTGCATTTCATCAACCCAAGCTATAAAACTTGAACGAGCATCCTGATTCCAACTGTTTGCTTGAATTAATACATTTTAAAAAATAGGGTTAACATTAGAATTTGAATAAATGGTAAATTACCTTTTTCGGGCATGCATAAAAGGGCCTTTCTGGGTTATTGGTAGTACGGGATGTTCTTATTATAACCTCAACTCCACATCCATATTCCATGTTCTTCATTATGTACCTTCAAAGTGGAGAGTATTTGAAGAAGAAAACAATGTGCTAGAATGAAACTACTTGGTATATATGAAAGAGTAGTGCGTGTAAAAGATTATATTACCCCCACTGTACAAGGAAAGTGGGGTCCCTAACATCCCCACTTTTTCCTTCTTCCTAATTCTATTACACTTTCAACAGATTATTCAATGAAAATTAACAACTAATTAAGATCAAAACAATCAACAAAGGACATCACCCAACTTTACAAAATGCCTATCATTTAGATAGGTCTTTCATTAATCATTGGATTTCACTTACAAAATGTCTTTTATTAAGAGAGGTCTTTCACATATTTCGGCAAAAAAAAAAATACCAAAAAAACACACACACACACACACAAACACTACATACTAATAACCTTCTTAACCATGAACCGCCTTAGCTGCAAATCAACCCATCACCCAAGCTTAACAAGGAAATGGAGCACAACCACCAACAACAAGAGCATCCCCACCATCATGCCACCCATAGCAACACCAACGACTTTAAACTTCTGATCATGGTCATCCAGCTTGTGCTGGAGACTGATGTGGTCGATCCTACAAACGATATACTCCTGTCCAAGCTGCTCCTTCAACCTTTTCATTTCAGTTTGGTTTTCTGTAATCTTCGGACCACAATCACAGAAAATTGAGTGGAGCACATTGTAGTTGATGTCTTCACCAGAATTTAAAGAGTCAGGTGAAGGTGGTGGAGCCGACATTATTGCTTTTTAAGGGTTCTTCCAGAGGATTGTTTGCCCGAATATGGTAAACAAGTTTTAGATTTGTTTTACTTCAAACCCCACATGCGTATGTCCCCTTATAATTCGAGACTTGTGCCAGAGACTCAATCAAATCGACAGTGTAAGGTTGTTGGGGTGTTGGTGGAAATTAAAGACGGTAATTGCTCTTTGCATGTGTCAGCTTCTGTGTCATCGAATCAACTCAGTATTGACTCAGTGGGTTACCTCATATGTATACATGGCAAGTGACGAGGCAGGTTAACATGTTAAAATGAGTAAGATAACTTTCCCAATCGGTAAATAACAAGTTTATGTTTTTAAAATGCAAAAAATAGTCACGATGGACTATTTAAACAATTATACGTAACATTGTTGGGCTATAACAACAATAACCCATGGATGTTATCACGCAAAAAATATGATTAGAATGATATACATTTTAAATGTGGCCAACACCGATAGAAAACATACCAACATCGGTGGCGTTAATCCTTTTATGGATCTCGTATAAAGAACTAAAATCACTACCGTCAACGCACATGTTTTAACGGCAAATTAACGAACGCCTTTCCAATCCACACGCCAAACCTTCCTTCTCTTCCACTTTACAGACCCAATTTCTCTGCTTTCCAATCCTCCATTGCTCTCAAGGTATGATTCTCTCCTTCAATTCCATTAAATCTTCCATTCCCTAAGAAGCGCACTCATTCATACCCTCATAGGCTTTGAATTTGTTCCCGTTAGGTTAGCTGTTGATGTAAGGGAACATCGAAATCTCCTGAATTATATTAAAAATCGATGAATTTTGCTCCCTTCTGTTATCGATTTCTTAAATGCTTTTCAAACTTCTTTTGGGAATTTGATGGCAATTCGTATAGATAGATCTCGTGAACTGCTAACGCTTATTATTTGTTTGATTGGGTGATTCCTAATCGACGTTGTCTTTGTGTATGATTCTGAAAAGGATTTGTGACATATATACCTTCAAAATTCAAATCACATCTTATGAAGTAACTCTATGTTTAACAATTGATTTTAATTTCAGAAAATTGGAGTGCAAAATCTGGGTTTCCAAAGTAGGCTTTTGTGAGATTTGAAAGATGAGAAAAGGATCATTGTGCCCTAGCCAGAGTGCCTAATGAATAATGAACTCTCCTCATCAACAAACCCCTATCAGAAATAATGGCCTGCATCTGGTCTATGTACGCAGAAAACCAGAATCAGAACATCATAAAAACACCATCTGTAACAACAAATCAAAACATCTTCCAATTACACTATCTGAACAGGATGACAACAATCAACAGCAAGAACAATCACCCATGAAGGATTCACCAATAAATATTCCAGAGACTTCTTCTGCACTTCCTTCAGTAACCGATATCACCTCCAATTCTCATCAATTGGATTACACAAAGAAACTGAGTGTTCAGAATTGGGAAGAGCGATACCTTCTGTTGCAAAACTTTTTGAAGGCTGTTGATCAATCAACACAAGATGATTATCTCCAGAGTATGTGGTTGAATGCTTTTAGTAATTTTTACATTTTCATGTTTGCAAAATTTGATCCCTCACTCAGTGACAGTGATAATCTTATTTGGTAGTGCTTCGCTCTCTCTCCTCAGTTGACCTTAGTAGACTTGCAGTCGAACTAGAAAGGAGAACCATTCGGCTCTCAATGGAAGAAGGTAATATTAAATACCAATAATAAATCCTAACACACACCAACACCATTTGTCTAAAGTTTGCATCATTTTCTGTGTATTTGTAGCAAAAGAGGTTCGACGTGCAAAGATTTTTGATGCCCAATGGATATCCGACTCAAACAAGTGAAATGACATGTCAAAACTTACTACTGATACGTATAGTTTTTTTTTTTTTTTTGTTCTTAGAAGTCCTTGATGGAATTGTTAATAATTGCTATATTTTTGATTTTTTTTTTTTTTACAATTGAATAGTCATTATATTTACAAGTGATGGTATTGATTTGTAAATAATATACCAAGCGTGTTACGATAAGGTTTGGGTACTGTTTTTAGTCTAAATAAGAAAGAGTAAAATTTGATGTAAAAAAACCTTTTTTTTTTTTTGCATGCTGAGCAAAAAATCAAATGTTATTGCGTAAATGGACGTTAAAGTGTGAAAGAAAAACAGTTAATCAAATTGAACTGAATGTAATTATATATTTTTAAGAGAAATAGAAACAGAATATTCTATACAAAATACCAACAAGGAAAAACTCTATATTGCGTATAAAGTTTGACAATTAACGAAGGTTAACAGCAGATCGAAATTAAATGAGATGAAGTTAACAGTGAATGAGAGTAGATTCAGTTTACGTTAAAAGTTTCTGAATTAAAACAGTAAATAACCAAAATTTGCATGGTGGTGAGTGTAAATACAAAGAACAACCTCCGAAAAGCCTGGCCCAGTCTCATCTTCCCGAAGTCGATAGCTCCAAAAAGATAAACATCAAACATAACTGAAAATAACTACTCCTCTCTCTCTCACACACACACTTACTGTGTGTAACCGTCGCCACCACCACCACCTTAAGTAACCCCATCCGCCACTTCTTCAACTTTTTCCCATCTGTCTCTGTTAGCAACCACATTATGAACACAAACACGATCATGGGTGCCACCACCTCCACTACTTCATCGGACTTACAACTCTGTCCTGCGTCCCCTGACGCTCAAGAGATTTTCCGGCCAACCCTTGACACCTCCGACATCTCTATCGGCAACATCCAACCCATCACCACCATACGCCCCCACCAACAAAACCCCAGAAAGAAACGCACAAAGATGATCAGATTCCACAACAGCAAAGCCATTGTTGGTGTTGCAGGCGGCAGTTCAACTTCCGGCAACCATTCCGGCATCATCACAAAGAAAAAACCCGACCCAAGTGCTCCAAAAATCACTCGTCCCTGTACTGAATGTGGAAAGCGGTTCTGGTCATGGAAAGCCCTCTTCGGCCACATGCGTTGCCACCCTGAGCGACCATGGCGGGGAATCAACCCACCGCCAAATCTCCACCACCCGCCGGCGCCGGATAATCACGATTTCATCAATGTAACAACTGAAGAAGATGAATACGTGGCCGCATGCTTATTGATGCTCGCTAACTCCACCACCACCACCACCACCACCATCGCCGCCCATCCATCCACCAGTCACCACCACCACCACCAGGATCCGGACACCCGATTTGAGTGCTCTAGTTGCAAAAAGGTTTTTGGGTCCCACCAAGCGTTAGGCGGGCACCGGGCAAGTCACAAGAACGTGAAAGGCTGTTTTGCAATAACAAGAAACGATGAAGTTGAAGATGGAGAATTTGAAGGTGTAGATAACAACATGAACATGGTGATGGTTTTGGGCAGCGGGCAGCAACACAGATGCAGCATTTGCTCAAAGATCTTTTCAAGCGGGCAGGCACTCGGTGGACACAAACGATGTCACTGGGAGAAAGACGACGCCGTTAATACACCAATAACAACACCGTTTAGGTTCGATCTGAATTCACCCCCACCTAATGATCATCATTCCACGTTTCCAATTTCAGATTTAGATTTAAGATTAAGCCTCTAAATTATGGGTGTATTATTATTATCTGTTTTATGTATATCTATACACATATATACAATCGATGATCATCTGTACTTATGTAGTATATTATATATTTATATAATCAATGATCCATCTTCATAAACTCATGCAATTCTTTAATCGTATCACGTATTTCATCTAACAAAACTTGATTTCTATCTCCTGCAACAAACCTACAACTCTTATTATTCACATTTATCATACTAAATCCAGCCACAATCTTAACTTCTTTATCTCTCATTAACCCTCGAATCCTTGCAACATCTTCCCAAGATCCCAATTTAGCATACATGTTTGATGCAAGCATGTAACCATTTGAATTATTGGGTTCCATTTCAAGAACACAAGACACCACCTTTTCTGCAATTCTTTCATTGAAGCTCAACCTGCAACCACTCAACAAGGCCCCCCAAGCACTCACACCACCTTTCTCATGTCCTTCCACCATTTTCATTGCAAGATCAAGGTTCCCACTTCGACTTAATAAGTCTACTAAACATGAGTAATGTTCTACACCAAGTTTGACTTCTAGGGTTTCGGTCAACTTCCGGAAAAGTGATAGCCCTTCGTGTACTAAACCTCCGTGGCTGCATGCTGATAACACTGAGAGGATGGTTATGGAGTTGGGCTTTACACCATGTGTTTCCATTTCGGTGAGTAAAGATAGAGCGGAGTGAGGAACACCGTTCATACCGTATGCCCCAATCATTGCACTGTATGACACAACGTTTTTATTTGAAATCATTTCAAAAGCCTTTTTTGATGTCATTATATCGCCATATTTCGCGTACATATCCAAGATTGAAGTCCCAACAATCGTATCGGATGCAAACCCTAATCTGATTGCAATCCCGTGACCCGATTTTGGTAATTTTAAATCAGAATCGTATGAACATGCTTCGATAAGATTCAAGATAGTGATTGCATTTGGTTTATGTTGCGACTCGATCATCATCTCATGGAAAACCCTAATTGCTTCATGAGGGAATCCACAGTATGTGAAAGCTGCAATCATTGTGCTCCAAGAAACAACATCGTGGATTTTGATCAAAGTGAAGAGTTTATGTGCGATGAATATAAGGTTGCATTTTGCGTATGTGTCTATTAGAGTGTTCACTACTAACTCATTTAACTCGTGGTTTCTTCGGATTATCACAGTGTGTATGCTTTTGCAAATTAAAGGATCTGTAAAATGTTTGCATATTTGTAGGAGGTTCACCAATGTGACTGGATCAGGGTCAAATTTGGCATTTTGCATTGAATCGAAAAGATGAATGGCTGCATAATGCTTCTCGTTGTATACTAATCCGGATATGATAGAGTTCCATGAAATGATGTTTTTAAGAGGGATTTCTGTAAAGGATTGTAATGCGGAATCTGGATCATTGCATTTGGAATACATATCGATCAACGAGTTTCCTAGAAATGTGTCATGATGAAAACCTTTGTGAAAGATGAATCTGTGTAATGTTCTTCCTGTAATAAGATTCTTTAAATTGGTGCAGGCTTTGAGGGCGCTTAGGATTGTTTGCTCATCTGGTTCAGGTCCGGATTGTGATAGCATTTTCTTGAAAATCTCTAAAGAAAGATGGGTTTTATTAGTTTTAACATAGCCTGAGATCATGACACTCCAAGTGATAACATCTCTGTTTGGCATTTCATCGAACAGCTTCTGTGCACACTCCATTGTCGTATCTGCATACATAGACAAGAGGGAGTTTTGAAGTGAAGAGATGGCTAGAAACTGGGTTTTAATCATATACCCATGGATTTTCTGTCCTTCGTGTAAAGCTTTGAGTGTTCGAATGGTTTGAATTACAAGGATTAAAGTGGAGACATTGGGTTCAAATCCTGTTGCTCTAGCTTGAATAAACGAACGTGTTCCTTGATCCAAATCACCACGATCAATCTGCCCAGAAATGAGAATATTCCATGAAACAGAATCCCTGATCTTCATGCAGCCAAAGACGCTAATTGTGGAACCCATATCCCCAGCTTTTGTATAGAAGTCCATGATAGAGTTTCCAATAGATGTGCTTGATTCCGCTCCGAGCTTAATTACAGATGCATGAAGGGACTTCCCATGTGCCAAAGATATTGCCGAACAGGCCTTTAAAATCGGATGGAACAATGAAGGTTCTGTAAATCGAACTCCTGCTTTGTTCATGTCATTGTATAACGACAATACATCTTGCCATCTCCCACTAAACGATGACTCTTTGATCTTTGAAACCCAGTTGGAAAGTTTTGAACTTGATATAACGGCTAAAGGATGCATAGCCCAAAAGAATCAAAACTAATTTCAAATGTTAAATTTTCACAACAAGGCGATACGATTTGTGGTGGTTTCCAAGCCTCCGATCTACTACAGACGGGAAACATAGGCGACACCCGCCTGTATAAAGAAAGTCACCTGCCAAATATAACATACTTATGTTTTAACAAATATTCTAATAAAATCATAAAACCATGTATAAAAAATAGTTTTTTAGTTGAACTGCTATGACGATCGGTTACCAGGTTCAATCGTTTTAACCGGTTCGATTGTTTTCTATTTTCAAAAATTAAACAATCTTCCATCGTGCACATGTCAGAAAACATGTTTAATCCTTATTTTCAAAAATTAATTCGGACCGTCACTCGGGTTGTTTTTTCTTGCACTCTTAGTCCCTCAACACATAAAAAGACCATTTTGCCCTTGTTTATTTCTTTTTTTGATTTGTTTATTAATTATTAATTAGTAATCTATTAAAAATTGTTTAATTAAATATAAACACCACCACCACCACCATTATTATATCTCTTATCTTCTTCTTTCTCAACTCCGACAACCACCACTTATCACCACCAGAAACCACCACCTGTCACCACCGTAGAAAGCACCATATGTCACTCATATTTCTCTCCTACCTCCTGCAACCATCCACCTATAGCCACCAGCCACCTCAGGCGCCTCCACTTATCACTGCTAACACCTCATGAACAACCGCTAGTCGACTACAATTAGAAACGACCATCTACCACCACTTAACCAAACCAAACCAAACTTGAAACCCTAGGTGGCATTCAAAACCCTAGGCGATGGTGTAAAGAAACCTCAGATCGGAACCCAGATACAGTGAAGGCGGTGATGTTCCAACCCTGAGACGATGAAGGTTCGAAGCAACTCACCTCTGAGACAAAAATGGTACACATCGTCCTCCAGATTTGTGATCTTTGACACACTACCACCTTCGTCTCTCGATCTGATAGTCCATCGAACCACCACTTCGAGATCTGCAAGCTTCAACGAATAGGTTTTCAGGCGAACAGGTAGTGACAACGAATGCGTAGATTTGAGATGGTGTAGATCTGAGACGAAGAAGGTTTTCAAGAAAAGAAAAAGTCACGAAGATGAAGGTGATGGTGACGGAGATGACGATGGTGTAGATTTGATAAAGAGGTCACGTTCTCCGGCGACGCGACAATCACAACAACATGACAATTCCAAAGAAGGTGAGGTGTTTTTGAACAATGAAGCTTTTGATGGCGGTGGAGGCGGATATTCAAGTGGTTTTTTAGGGTTTTAGACAAAGATGTGAGATGGTGGTAGGTGACGGCGACACACCAGAGATAGAGATTTTGGTGGTGGTTCAGATATACGGCGGTGGTGGTGAATATTCCCAGTGATGGTATCTAAAGTGTGTGTGTGTGTGTGAGAGAGAGAGAGAGAGAGAGAGAGAGAGAGAGAGAGATTAAATTAAGAGTTTTAAAAAGGTGTGGCCATATTTATTTCTTTTAATTAAAAAATAATAATAACATTAAATTTATTGGAAAAGAAATAGGCAAAGGGCATTATGGCCATTTTAGATCTCTCATGGACTAGATGCACAACAAAAACATATATCAGGGACGAAAAGTGCAAGTTTTATGCAAATGAGGGACGGTCCGAGTTAATTTTTGAAAATAAGGACTAAACACGCTTTCTAGCATGTGTACGAGGGACAATTGATATAATTTAGCCCTTTTTCTATTATCCTACACATACATAAACATCCACAAGTTTAAACATTAAAAATATACATAAATACAAGTTGTAGATCAATTCAAGTACATTAAAAAAACACATAATCATAAGTTTTATATTAATTCACGTACGTCAAAAATAAAAATAAAGTATAATATGGAATCAAAATATAGTTTTAAATGAATACAAACAGATTAAAAAACTTCATAACATTTACTGTATGTTATTCAAAGAAATATAAATAGATGTAATCAGAAACACCAAAGTTTGTTATGCAAAATGATTTACTTTCATATGTTTTTATTTAATTTAACCGTTTCAACGAGGGTTTTGTAAAATCCGGTTGGTTCATTTCGGTTCAAAAACAGACATAAAACTGATGCTAGTTGAACCGCTCATTTCTCCGGTTCCAAGTCCAAATGGTTCGATCTATCGGTGTTTTAAACTAGTTTTTAATACAATGGCCAAAAGGTTAACTAGATAAAGTTGTTATGTTTTTATAAAAATTCCTATTTGATGTTGTGTTATGTTTCCTTTATAATTTAGTTATATATATATATATATATATATATATATATATATATATATATATATATATATATATATATATATATATATATATATATATATATTTTTTCAGTTTTGACCATTTGACCGGTAAACTCATTTATCATATATATTAAAATGTCTATTTAATGAAAATACGGTTATAATAAAAATAATACATATCTATAGATAACATTATTGGTTGAATATGTAAAACTTTATTTATATAAAAATATGATTTTAAATATAGCGTAAAGTAAAAAAAAATGAAAACTCGCAAGAACCCGACTCGAATCGCCGAGTCGCAGACATGGACTCGTCGAGTCCCCCACCAGAACAGAAAAATAAGCCTCCTATTAAACCATATCAGCATCCATTGCCATTTCCAGGCCGAGCTAGACAAGATAAGCACGATATTGATTATCAAAAATTCCTGGAACACATAAAAGCCCTTCAAATTAATATGCCATTCATCGATGCGGTTGCAAAAATGCCTAAGTATGCCAAATTATTAAAGGAGCTTCTTAAAAATATAAAGAAGATAGAAGAGGTGAAGAAGGTGGTTCTCAATGAAAATTGTTCATCCGCCATGTTGAACAAATTACCTAAGAAGATGGGTGACCCGGGTAGTTTGACCTTGCCTTGCCAATTCAGAAATTTATCAACTATCCATGCATTGGCTGATTCGGGGGCAAGTGTTAACCTTATGCCATATTCATTTTTTAAGAAATTGGACCTTCCAGAGCTAAGGCCAATTCGAATGGAAATTCACTTAGCGAATAAAACGGTGACATTTCCAAGGGTGATATGCGAGGACCTATTGGTGAAAGTTGATAAGTTTGTGTTCCCCACGGGCTTCATAGTATTACACATGGAAGCGGATCCTCAAGTCCCAATCATTTTTGGAAGACCTTTCCTAAATACCGAAAGTGCAATAGTAGACATGCGAGATTATAAACTTACCCTTCGGGTGGGAGACGAATCAGTTACATTTGGAGTTGATCAAGCCATCAAGCATGCAAGGTATAGTGATGACATGACATTTTTGGTTGATATATTGGAATAATTAATGGAAGAATGGGAAGAAGACAATCCAAGCTAGTCTACCACTGCCTTTGACGATGATTTTGATGCTGAACGAGACCTGATGGAGATAAAGAGACTACTCAAAGAAGCTGAATATAATGAATTAATCAGAAGTGCTCAAAGCCCAACTCGCCGAGTCGCAATCACTGACTCGACGTGTCCATGTGAGAAACCGCGATTAAACGGGGACTTTGGCCTGGACTTGACGAGTCCCCTTACTGGACTCGACGTTTCAGTGTACAAAACACGAAATCATAGCTGAAACTTTACCTGATCATTTAGAGTATGCATCTCTTGAAGAAGGTGAACAAAAACCTGTAATTATAGTTTCTGACCTCACCAAATCTGAAAAAGAAGAGGTAGTTCGAGTTTTAAAGAAGAGAAAGAATGTCATTGCATGGAAAATCACCGTTATTAAAGGGATAAGCCCTTCTTATTTCTCTCACAAGATCAACCTGGAAGAAAGAGCAAAGCTGGTAGTGCAACATCAAAGGAGGTTGAAACCAAACATGCAAGAAGTGGTCAAGAAGGAGATGGTCAAGCTTCTAGATGCGGGGATCATATATTCCATTTCCGATAGTCCATGGGTTAGTCCTATTCAAGTGGTGCCTAAGAAAGGAGGGATGAATATAGTGACAAACGAAAAGAACGAACTCATTCCAACTCGAACGGTAACCGGTTGGCGGGTGTGCATCAATTACCGAAAGCTAAACGATGCCGCTCGTAAAGACCACTTTCCCCTTCCTTTTATTGATCAAATGCCTGAACGATTATCTGGTCATAGCTATTACTGTTTCTTAGATGGATTTTCAGGTTACTTCCAAATACCCATTGACCCAATTGACCAAGAAAAGACGACTTTCACTTGCCCAAGTGGGACTTTTGCCTATCGACGCATGCCTTTTAGGTTATGCAATGCACCCGCGACTTTTCAAATATGCATGACGGTGATATTCCACGACATGGTGGAAAAGTTTATGGAAGTATTTATGGATGATTTTTCTATTTTGGCTCTTCTTTTCATAATTGTCTTACTAACCTTGACTTGATGCTTGCTAGGTGTGAAAAGACCATTTTAGTTCTAAATTGGGAAAAATGTCATTTTATGGTGAAAGAGGGCATAGTATTAGGTCATAAAGTATCCAAGGCGGGGATTGAGGTGGATCAGGAAAAAATTGAAATTATTGCTAAATTACCCCCACCGACTAATGTGAAGGGCGTTAGGAGTTTTTTAGGGCACGCGAGTGTTTACCGCCGTTTTATAAAAGATTTTTCTAAAATAACTAGAGCTCTAATTCAATTACTTTTAAAAGATGCACATTTTAATTTTTCTAAAGAGTGTCTAGCGGCTTTTGAGATTTTGAAAGAAAAATTAACTAATGCCCCGATCATTATAGCCCCGAATTGGAACTTGCCCTTTAAAATAATGTGTGACGCAAACAATTTTGACTTAGGAGTTGTGCTTAGCCAAATGGTTGACAATCACTTTCGACCCATTTATTATGCAAGCAAGACTTTAAATCCGGCCCAAGAAAACTACACCACAACCGAAAAGGAATTATTAGCCGTGGTGTATGCCTTTGACAAATTCCACGCCTATCTTATTTTATCTAAAACCACTGTTTTCACTGACCACTCTG